CAACATGGAATTGTTTTCCTGTGTAACGTTGTCCAGTGGCAGTTTCTGTGGTTGGCATTTGTGATGACCCTGGAAAACTTTACTCAACATCACTTACTCAAGGTGAACAGATCATGGGACTGATAAAGACTGCAACTTTATTGTAAATATATCAGTTAAAGTTCAAGAGTAACGACTGTTTTTATTCCTGTCCACTTTAGGCACTTCTTTGTGTGTGATTTATATGCTTATATTGCATTTGTTGGAAATAAGTGAGTCACTAATATATCACTAGTGACAGCACAGCTTAGAGCTGATGATACAGCAATGAAAAATGCAAAGGTTCTGTTCTCAAGGCACTCACTCACTGCAATGGGAAGAGTGCAGATACTACATGATGGATGATATGAAAGTGATTAAGCTTTGCTGGTAGAACTCAGCAGAGAGCTGGCTGACTAAATATATGATTTAGAATTGTGAGATGTGCTAGCAAGACTTCACATATTAGTGTGCATCTTAAATTTGTTCTTTTTCTGTGGATGAAAAAGAGGTAGGCAAGTGGAAAAGATAAACAATAACATTCTAGATTGCTGCAAATATTTTCAAAAGTAAAGAAATGGAGAAACCAAGACATATTAAGGTAACCCAAAGTTAATCAGTACAATTAGAAGATAGGTTGTATATAAGGGATTTAGGAAGATAAAACTGTAAAGACAAACAGAAATCATGTCATCATAAGGAATAGATTTGAAATTCTAAAGAGTATATTGCAAATGTACATAGAGTAGTGTCCCTTTCAGAATGGTGGCATGATTAGCTCAGCAAAACAGTCATGTGAAAAATGAGACATTTTTACAATCTTTGAAACTTGTCTTAATGTATATTTTAATGAAGAAAACCTATTAAGTCTTGATAAGGTCAGTAACAGTCTGAAAACTTGAGTCATAACCCTTTCACTGTCCCCACCTGAGGTTAGCATAATGGATCATCCATTATAAGTGGGTATTAGCAGGAAGAGGAAGCCCCTTCTCCCTCCAGGTCCCAGTCTGTGTATCTCTCCCTGGATATCATAGGCTAAGGTGATGTTATCCCTCCAGGAGTAGCAGATCACCAGTGATTGTTCTCCCTCCCAGCTCCATATTGCACAAGTTAAATTCCAGGCAGTGGTGGCTACATGGTTGGGGTTCCTCTTCCCCACCCATCCCATACTCATAGAGTAGAGGCACTCCCTCAGTTCAAGAAGGTCAGGAATATTGGGGAATTGATCATCCTCATTGCAGCTCATATTCCAGCTTACTTCCCAGTAGGGGGGAGGCAAGCCAGGAAAACCAGAGGTTACCATCTCCTCTTCCTATGACCAGGCTCATAAAACAAGAGTGTTATTCAGAAAAATGGTCCACTGTCTGTGTTCCAAGCTCCAGAAAAATGTCTCAGACATTTTTGTTTAGGGAAAAAAACACCATAAGAACAGAGAACTCCAAATCTTTTCCCAAGTAACTGACTTTATTTGATCAGGGAAATTCAAGCCTAAGGATGCTCTTGAATACAATGGGGGTGGGGTGTGGGAGTGTTAGGAAGGGTTGGTATGCAGTTAAGAGGAGTTTTGTAGCTCCAGAAGGCAATAATTTTAACCCTAGGTCGATCTGTTTAGTACAGTGAATCAAAGAAAGACAGCCAGGAATGGCCTTCTGAGAGTTGGTAGAAATGTCAAAGATTGACCTCAAAACTATCCCTGGAAAAAGGGTCCAAATCAAATTGGGTTAAACTGTGGAAAAGTTTATTCCCCAGCTCATTGTCAAATACTGGAGAGGCCATCAGCCATCAATTAATAGAGGGAACAGATTGGTGTGATACTAACAGAAGCAGGTATTCTAGAATCTCAAGAGTGATGAGGGAAAGAGAGAGCCAAGAAAAACAGTGCTAAATTCATTGTCATGACTGAGTGATTGTGCACATGTCCAAGACTGTGTCCCCTGGTGAAAGGTTGTGTCCTTTCCCCCTAACATCTGGAATAAGATCATGATGTGCACTATCACCACTTCTGTCCAACACTCTACTTGAGGTACTAGTTATTTAAATTATGCATGATATGACACAATGAAATCCACATACTGTATGTAGAAAATATGAAGGAATCCACTGAAAACCACTTAAAACTAATGAACTACAGTGTGGCATGGTATGAGAGCCAAACAAAAAAATCGATTGTATTTCTGTGAACTCAACTATATGAAAATAAAATTAAGAAATGATTCTATTTATAATAGCATCAAAAAGAATAAAATACTCATGAATAAATTTGGTAAAATAGTATAAAATATATACTCTAAAAACTAAATGAACCTGCTGAAAAATTAAAGACCCAAATAAAAAGAGAGAGAGCTCATGTTCACCTTTCATAACTTACAAAAATGAACTCAAAATGGGTCAAGAACAGAAACTTAAAAGATAATAATGTTACATTTTTAGAGGATAATGCAGATTTGAACTGTATGATCTGAAACAGGAAATGGTTTCTTAGATATGACTCCCAAAGTAAATGTAACCAAAGCATGCATAGATAAACAGAGCTCATCAGAATTACAAACTTTTGTTCATCAAAGATTACTACTATTAAGGAATTAAAAATGTAACCCGAAAGAATAGGAAAAAATACTTGCAAAACATATATCTCCTAAAAGATTAATATAAAGATTATTTATATGCACAGAATAAAATATTTTTGGCAATTTATAGCAATGCTGTACTGATACATTGCATCATGAATGAACCATGGAAACTTCATATTAAGTGAAATAAGCTAGCATCAAAAGGCATTCTGTTATATGACTGCATTTTTATAAAATGTGGAAAAATAGGAAAATCCAGAGAGAAAGAAGGTAGATTAGTAATTGTTTGAAGCTGGCTGATTTGAAGGGAAATGGGAAGCAAATACTAATGGGTTTACAGTATCTTTAGGGGCGTGATTAAATGTTCTAATATTGATTATAGATATGGTATTTAAACTCCGAATATATTAGAAGCCATTAAATTTTTCATTATAAATGTGTGAATTGTATCAGAGAATCATATGGCAATAAAGGTTATACAACACACACACACACACACACACACACACACACACACACACACCCCCCCCCCAAAGAACTTGGTCTGCACATCAGGAATCTTAGAGCCACAGTCATTAAACAAGATGGTGTTCTTTAAAAAATATACGCAGAACAATGTAAATACTCAAATGACTGCAACTGTCTATAACTGCCTTTAATACAAAACTTCTTTTTTACTCACTTTGGAATCACCCAGAGTGCCTACCTGAAAGAAAATGACCCAGAGCAGTGTTCCCAACTGCAGATGATTTGACCCTCCAGGGTGCATTGGCAATATCTGGAGGGAATTTGGATGTAACTACTATTCTCCAGTGAGTAGAGGACAGGTTGCTGCTAAATATCCATCATACACAAAACAGTATATCTAAAAAAAAAATAAAGAATTACCTCACCAAAATGTCAACAGTGCTGAGGTTCACAAACCCTATCCAGGGTAAATATTGGAAGACAAAAATATGAAAAGTTGATAAAATGGGTCTTAGGAAGAGAGAATTAACACCTGGTTAGAGAATTAGAAAGTATCATGGAGAATTTACCTAAAACACCAATTCAAAAGGATTTATGCACCCTAATGTTCAAAGCAGTGTTATGTACAAGGGCCAAGTGTTAGAGATAGCTAAGTGTCCATTAGTAAATGAGTGGATCAAAAACTGTGGTACATGTAGAATACTAAGCAGCAGAAAGTAACAAGGAGCTCCAACCCTTCACTGACAGCATGGATGGAACTGGAGAGCATTATGCTGAGTGAAATAAGCCAGACAAGGACAGACAAATACCATATAATCTCACCTCTAAGTGAAACCTAATCAACAAAGCAAACAAATGAACAAAATAGAATGAGATACGTGGAAATAAAGAACCAATTCTGACCAGATTGTGGGGGGAGGTGGACAATGGGGGAAAGAAGGGGAAGAGTCAAGTCTAGGAACATGAATGAAGGACACAGGGCACAGCAACAGGGTGGGGTATACTGGGGGATTGTGGGTGTGGGCAGTGCAGAGGGGAGCAATGGGTGAAAAAGGGGGACAGCTGTAACTGAACAACAATAAAAATAATAATCATGGAGGGTTTAGAAATGTCATCTATCCTTTATTAAATGGATCTTGAGGAACAGGTATGATCTTCACTGGCAGAGACAGGCTACAGGCAGAAGGGTGTCCATAGGAAGGGAACAGAATACAGACGTGCTGAGACAGAGCCCCTTATAGAATGTGAGGGTAACAGCAAAAGATCTAGAATTATTTGAAGCTATTTTGTACATATGAAGTAAAACAAAATTATTTGATTGCAATAAGATCAAGATTAAGAAAGCAAACATAAGTAGTGGAGTTTAACATAATTCAGTAGAGAATGAAAAACTGCTAATGATTTCTTGGCATTTTTATAACATGATCAGAAATATTTGGAGAAGAGTATTTTGAAGCCTGTTGGCTTTAGGGTAATTTAGGAGGTGATTTCAATAATATGGAAGAAAAATATTGTTGGGTTGTATTAGGCGTTTACAAGAATAAGGTATTTAAAAGGTAAATTTGAGCTGAAGAATGAAGATTTGCAAGTAGAACCAACAGGAGTTTGGAGTTTACTGAAAGAAGGTGCCCACCTCTCTGGAATGCTCAGCTGGTTGCAGTGCTTTCTCGTATACTGTGATGACTCTGTCTCTGTCGCTTCTCTGTCTCTGTCTCTGTCTGTGTCTCTGGTGTCTCTCCCCTGTCTTCTCTCTCCACTCTCTCTTTCCTTCTTCCTCTTTCCCCTCTTTCTCTCCCTCTCTCTCCCTCTCTCTAGAATAAAATTGATAAACATATACTCAGGTGCGAATTTAAAAAATGTAGAAGAGAGGAGAGAGTTGTGTGTACAGTGGGATCAACCATTAATACAGATTTCCTGGCAATATACTGAATATGATCCAGGCTTTATTAGTAAAGGAGACATCAGACTTTTAAGGAACATTGAAATAGCCAAGTGATTACATTAGTGTAGTAGGTGGAAGGGTTTCCTGGGTGGAAATGGAGATCATAACTAGGGAATTGTAGGAAATAAATATTAGTAAAAATAGTAACTCCTAAGGGAGTTGTTTTGATTGGGCCACAGGTTTTGTTTAACTTACCCATGAATCCCAAGATTCTAGTTGTTACAAGGAGAAAGGAACAGAAGATTCCAAGAATGACTGCATTGAGACACCAGGTGAATGGAACTGAAGACACTGTCCAGAGAGAAAAAGGAGAGATTGAGCAGCTCAGCAAAGAAAAGACTGAAAAAAGATGCAGAGTTCAGAGGGAGACTTTCCAGAAGTTCATGACCCTAAATGGTGAATATCTTCCTATTTGAAATGATCAATTCCAAGGGATACTGACCAGAGTGAAACAATGGTGGATGGAGAATTGGATGCCTGGGTTTACTTATTGTGTTACTGTGTTTCTCTTGGGAAATTCACTTATTCTGCCTTTACCAAAATAATCCCCTGCATCATGTCAATGATTTGTGAATATCAACTGGAATATTAAATTTATAAAGTTTATTTTAAAAATGTAAATGCACTTCTAAAATATATCATTTAGATAATTGAGTTCTTGTTTTCTTTGATTGGAGTCTGAAGTAGATGTTTTCACTTCTGAGTAAATCAGCGACTCTTTTATCTCTGAGATTAAAACAGAGTTGTGGTTACTGCTTTGTAGTCACACTATTTCTCATAAAGCATGTAGGCTATTAATATGTGTGAAGAGAGCTGACAGAAAAGGATGTTTTTCCAAATAAAAGAAATGTAATTTTTTTCTTCTGACTTGGTAAACTCCAGCAGGTAAATGTTTTAAATGACAAAATCTTGAAAATAATCTAGGCAAAATGTGTCATGTGATAAATAATAAACATCTTTAGAGAATTTAACAAGGAACAGAAATAATGCTAGAATACAATAGGGATTGGGAAAAATACTCATTTTCTTTTTGCATGTGCTTCTTGGAAAGAAGATCATTCAAATCTACATAAGTTGTACTTTTTTCATTCATCTCTGAAAAATTTTAAGATACAATTCTAAATGTATGGCATAACTTTTTTTTTTAAAAAAACCTAAGTTTTCAGTTTGTACCCTTCCTAGATTATCTGTATATAATTAAAACCAGTATCTCATAACTCATGCTGAATGACTTTCCTTTTGCCTCAAGAAAGATTTTTGCCATAGATTAATTTTTTCCCTCCTAAATATTATCAGCTACCATCTTTCTTTACATTCTGAGTATTGTCATTTTACCTACTATGCCTGGACTTCTCTAAATGTGGTATTTCATTTAATTTTAAAAGGTCAACCGTGCTATGATCTATGAAATATTTGTACTTCACTTAAAAATTGTCCATATTCAGAAAAACACCAGAAAATTTTTACAAGTCATTTGTATTGTAAAGATATATTGTGCTACATAATGTTACTATAAAATATCTCCTTCATGATCTTCTTAATATTTTTCTATTGATCTTTAATTTTTTATTAATAAGTCAAACATATTTCCTTCCAATAATCTCCTAAAAGACTGTGAAATTTCTTCTCTCATGGTATTAATAAGGAATGCCATACGATTAGGATTAACTCCTAATTAGGCTATACTCCTAAGGGGTTGGTTGTTTTATGGCCATAATATTTGAAGGCATAGGCTAAATGCAACTAATTCTCTTTGAAAGATTAATATTACTTGCATTTTTAATACATTTAATTAACTTGTTCAAATATTTAAAATATTATCTTAATAAACAAAGCAACATACCATGAAGTATATTAAATAGAATTCTATTTATGGAACAAGTTTAAAATTCTCAGCCTCACTAGTTCCCCAGTATGCCATCAATTAAATACTTTTTGCATATTTTTATTTCCTCAACATTAAGCTCCTGTTATCTTTAATAATATGATTAAAATATATAGGCCTCTGTGTGTGCATAATATTCACTTATGACATTTAATTATTTCCCACAATATAACTTCATATATGAAAACCGGACTTTACAGAAATACACTGATAATGCCTTTAAAAATCCTTTCCCAATTCTGGAATATATTAGAAATGTAGACCTATATCACATAAATTAGCAAAGTCTAGAGGTAGATGTGAAACAGAGATACATATTAATAGATAGATAAGAAAAAATTAAGAATTATTTAAATTACTTAATTACACATATCTTCATTGATATGATCATTTGCTCAATTAATGTATTTGGTTAATTCAATTTAGTGTTGAAATATTTACTAGGAAACTATGAGTTATATACTATGTTAAACTAAAAAAACATTATAGGAGGTAATTCACTTTCAAAGTACTTCTTAAACATGAAATGGTCAGCTTGCATGCCTGTAAGATTGAATGTACTGGATTTAAAAAACAATCTATTCTCTGTGCTCTGTATAGGCAATCAGGTGGCAGGAATAACAGTGATATGTGCTGAGAGCCACAGCTATAGACTTAGTTGGTGATACCTGTGTCAGTGCAGTAGAGTTTCCGCTCCAGTAGACTCTGGTCCAAATAGAAGAGGTGAGCCCCTGAAGGTGGTTGGACTGGATGTGCGTGTTCTGGAGAAGAAGGTGATTCTTCTGGGCTCCCTATGTTATCTGCCCTGGTTTCCCAAGAGCCTTCAGTGCTGCTCAGCTGCACATGAAGGTGTGAGAAAACAGTTCACATTTAAGCTTCAGTTTTCACTATTGGCATCCTTTATCACAGAGACTAGCATTTTTTTCTGTCTTTTTTTTTTTTAACAGAAAAGATGAGGGGGAGAAATAATAGAGGCCCATGTCTAGTTTGCACAGAGTACAAAGTACATATTAAAGAAAAGACCACTATCACCACTATGATGACTGACACCAAATAGTAAGATTCTAAATATATTCTGTAAAACAGATGCTATGTTTTGGGCTCCAAATGGAAATTGTAGTTAATGAGAAATTTGCATTCATCTTATAAGCTACTACGATATTAGCTAAGTGAAAATACATAAACACTCATAGTCTGCACAATTTATCTGAAGGAGAGTTTGATTAATAAAGCATTAAGGTCTTAAACTGTATTAGAGTGAGAGTCACTCAATCCCTGGTTCTTTTAACATGCATCTAAATTCTATGGCTTTATTCTCTGAAATAATTTGCTATAACATAGTCCTTATACAGTGTGTTTTTGTGTTTATTCTAGTATAAATTGAGTAGATTTGGTCAAAACTTCAGGCTTTGGTGATTTTTGGTTCCCTTCCCATGTAGTCTGCACTGTAATTATAAAAAGAATAGAAATATGTCAGCTTCCTCCTTAGTAGGCTACTGTAGCTTTGCCCAGAGTATTGGGTAAACAATGGCAATGCAGTTGAAATATATGAATCTTAGCTCTGTATAAAAGATTGAAATAGTTTTATCTGCTTTCAACATTTAATAATAAAAACACAGTAAAAGAATACATTTCAACTCTGGGTTGAATTTATTCAAAAAACATTTGGGAGTGGCATATTTGCACACTTTTTTTCATTGAGTTTAGAATGGAGAAATGATGACTAATGGAAGACCAATTGTGATATAAAAACAAGCCTCTACAGAAATTATCAAACAAGGTGTGTAATCAAAGGATAACCATAGGCAGCCTGTGAAACAGAAATTTTTAATAGTTTGGCTGTATGTTCTTTTTGTTTTTGTATTAGTCATGCATAATTTTTTATCTGTTCTCCCCAACTGCTGCAGACTTCTTCCAAAAGAGACCACTGGCAAGATCCACACTCAGCACCACAGTGATTGGATTAGACTTTGAAATTATTTAATTAGATGTTAACTTCTCACCTTTGCAAGCCCATCTAATGATTTTCTTTTTCCTAGTACTGCTTTCTCCACTTACTCAAAATGTCAAGTATCTGACCCAGTTCTTTTTTTTTAAAATTATTTTATTGTGGTTCATTTACAGTTGTCCTAATTACTCCCCACCACTCCCCCCCCCCTACCCCCAGCCATCACCACCTCCCTCCCCTGCTCCCACTCCCCCTTGGTTTTGTCCATGTGTCCTTTATAGTTGTTCTTGAAAACCATTCCCCCCTTTCCCCACATTATCCCCCTCCCACTTCCCCTCCAGTTACTGTTAGATTGCTCTTAATTTCCATGTCTCTGGTTATATTTTGCTTGCTTGTTTGTTTTGTTGATTAGGTACCACTGAAAGGTGAGATCATATGGTATTTGTCCCTTGCTGCCTGGCTTATTTCACTTAGCATGATGCTCTCCAGTTCCATCCATGCTGTTGCAAAGGGTAGGAACTCCTTTTTTTCTTTCTGCAGCATAGTTTTCCATTGTGCAAATGTACCCTCGTTTTTCCATCCATTCATTTCCTGGTGGGTACTTAGGTTGCTTCCAGCACTTGGCTATTGTAAATTGTGCTGCTGTGAACATTGGGGTGCATAGGTTCTTTTGAATTGGTGTTTCAGGTTTCTTAGGGTATAATCCCAGCATTGGAATTACTGGGATCAAAAGGCAGTTCCATTTTTAGTTTTTCATGGCTAAAGAAAACAGCATTAAAGTGAAAAAATACCAACTATATGGGAAAATGTATTTGCCAATGATACCCCAAACAAGGGTTTGATCTCCAAAATATATACAGAACTCACATCACTCCACTCCAGGAAGACAAACAATCCAATTAAAAAAATGGGCAAAAAACTTGAACAGACACTTCCCCATGGAGGACATACAGAGGGCCCTGGGACATATGAAAAGATGCTCAGCATCACTAACCATCAGAGAGATGCAAATTAAAACCACAATGAGATACCACTTCATACAAGTCAGAATGGCCCTCATAAACAGATCAACAAGCAACAAGTGCTGGAGAGGATGTGCAGATAAGGGAACCCGACTTCACTGTTGGCAGGAATGCCGACTGGTGTAGCCACTGTGGAACACACTATGGAATTTCCTCTGACCCAGTTCTTGATCAATTTTTTCATTATTATACATTTTCACAGCATTTTATTATTTTTTAACAATGCAACAGTGTAATAATTATTTTCATCTTAAAACACATCTGCCCCATTATTCTATATATTTCACCAATTGTTAAACCTTTCAATTCAACAAAGTTTAATATAATTATCTGTCACTGTATAAATTACTCTCTCTAATATTTAGATATTAATTCACCCAGATTTGTCAACACTTTGCAAGCTGTCAGCACTGTGCTAAGCATTTGTAGGTATTATATATCCTGTAATCCTGAAAGAATTTGTACATTATAAAAAAATAATATCACATTTTTTATTAATCATTATAATATAACTAATAGGCATTGTTAGCTTGCTGGTGTTGGTGTTTTTTTTCTCTTAATTTCAAGAGTACACACCTAAATAAACAGAAAAACCTCAAAACTTACAGTACATTGAAGAGTCTGTTATTTCACATAAGCCTCAGCTTGCCTTCAATTAACATCAAGAACAATAAAACCATCTTAGAATTAAAAAACTATGAAAAACAGGACAATGTTAAGGATATTTTAATATTGGAAACACAGTATTTATCATCTATTAAATATGGGGGACATCTTTGATAGTGGGAATAATTAAAAAAGGTATTGGGGAGAAAGAAAAGATAGTCTTGGTGGTATATACTTTTCAAAATATTCTTTATGTTCGTTCTATTTCTCTGACTATTAAAATTAAGCACTAATTCATATTTTCTAATTTTTCTTATACTCAAAGTAAAGTTTATGTTGAATTATTTTCATAACTTCATTAAAACAGGAGTGTGGTTATGGGGGAGGAGCATATTAGTTACTACCCCCTTTGGTTGTGGGTAGCTGCAGAGGGGACTGTAAGCCAGTAGAGAGCTGAGAAAGCTGAATTGTTCCCTCTCAGACCCCTCCCACACATATAGTGCCACAGAGCAGTGACGTGGGTTGCCTGCCCTGGTGAACATCTAACATTCCACCCCTTACTATGTAACAGGTGCACCAAGACAAAAAAAAGTGGCCCAAATGAAAAAAGATATCAAAGATTAAGAAGAAATACAGCTAAGTGACAAAGAAATAGCCAACCGATTAGATTGGTAACCGAAACATTGGTAATCAGGATACTCACAGAATTGGTTGCCTATGGTTGCAAAATAGAGGAAAAAGGGAAGGCTATGAAAAGTGAAATAAAGGGAACCAACAGTGAAGGGAAGGAAACCGGGACTCAAGTCAACAGTTTGGACCATAAGGTAGACATAAACATTCAAGCAGAACAGAATGAAGAAACAAGAGTGCAAAAAAACAAATAAATAAATAAAATCAAAAGACATAAGGAGAGGCTTAGGAGCCTCCAGGACAACTTTAAACATTTCAACATCTGAATCATAGGGGTGCCAGAGGGAGAAGAGGAAGAGCAAGAAATTGAAAATTTATTTGAAAAAATAATGGAGAACTTTCCCAATCTGGCAAAGGAAATAGACTTTTAGGGAGTCCAGGAAACTCAGAGTCCCAAAGAAGTTGGATCCGAGGAAGTACACACCAAGGCATGTCATAATTACATTACCCAAGATTAAAGAGAAGGAGAGAATGTTAAAAGCAGCAAGAAAAAAAGAGACGGTTACCTGCAAAGGGGTTCCCATAAGACTGTCAGCTGATTTTCAAAAGAAATCTTACAGGCAAGAAGGGGCTGGAAAGAAGTAATCAAACTCATGAAATGTAAGGACCTACACACAAGATTACTCTATCCAGCAAAGCTATCATTTAGAATGAAAGGGCAGATAAAGTGTTTCTCAGATAAGGTCAAGTGAAAGGAGTTCATCATCACCAAACCCTTATTATATGAAATGTTAAAGGACTTTTCTAAGAAAAAAAAGATAAAAAATACGAACAGTAAGAGCTCATCCCCACTTTCAATCTTTGAGTCTGTCTCAATCTTGCTTGTTAGTTCAGTTTGTTCATTAGATTACACATATGAATGAAACCATATGATACCTAATATCTCTGACTGGCTGGCTTATGTCACTTAGCATAATGTTCTCCAGGTCTATCATTCTGTCACAAAGTGTAAATTTTTCTTGTTTTTTTTTTATGGCCAAATCTTTTTTTTTCCACTGTGTAAGTGTCCCATAATTGTTTTATCCACTTATGTACTGATGGACACTTGGGGTTTTATGCTATTTTTTAAAGAGAAGAAATATTCGAATTATTTGTGCAATTAGGATTCTGTTATCTTAAAATGTTAAGCTTAAGTAAAAAGGGAAAAAATTCCAGGACTTATAGAACTTGTGACCCTGAGGTCTGGACAGTCAGAATATTAAGTTTCTGCATTTCACAGTTGGTATAATCAAGAACCTTAGGAGCAAGATAGGAATGGGTCTTTGTTATGCTTCTCACTGCCCCCTCCCCCTTCCAGAACTGACAAGATTCTCAGGCCCTGGGACTCCACTGACCACAGCCTGGAGAGTCCATGATCTGGGGATCTGCTGACTGCATGTTCCCCATCTCCATCCATCCCCTACCTGAGGCCATTGTGCTCCCTTCACACTGAGGACACACTAGAGCATGTTGGCCTCAGGATGCAGGACAGATATGTCCTCTGTGTGAATGTGCTGGTCAGCCTGTGTGATTGTGCTTCAGGCAGGAAGGGGAGTCCTGGAATTTGGATGTTTCTCCAACTCCCACATAAGCCCCCTTCATCAGCTTCTTCCTCCTTCTAGTTGATGTTGCTCCCAGGGGTCCACAGTGACAAGGTGGGGGCAGGGAAAATACAGTCATTTCTAGAATGACTCAAAGTGGAATGGTTGTTGGGGTGAAGGGCTTTTCAACAATGATTCCCACTGTGCAGGTCCCTGCAGGTCCCAGGCCACCCCTTCCCCACCTTAGGCATCTGATGATCATAAGGAAAGTCCTACCATTTCAATCCAAAGCTCTGCAGGGACACCTCCAGACTATGTGGTCTTGGGCCCTCTTCTGACCTCAGGCTTTACCTCTGGAAAGTGGAACTAACAAACCCGACCCTCAGAGGTTGATGGTGAGGATTTGGTGTGATGCAGGTGAAGTCCAGGCACAAACCCAGTGTTGGTGGGTTTTCCCACTTCCTGAGTCTCTCTGACCTTGGCCACTTCCTGAAGGGCCAAGTGTGTGGGTTTCCAAGTCAGAGACAAGAGCTGACACCGCAGCTGCACATTTTTTTCAGCCACCTCTGCACCTAATCCTGTGCTGGACACCCACCATCAAATATCAAAACAGCCTGAGTGTGCTAGGGTCTTTGTCCCTTTGTCCTATTTTGAAATAACAGTGTAACATATAAGAAACATGCCTGTAAACATAGAAGGAGACAGTATCAAAGAGCAATGGGTGTGCACATGATTTTAGTTCCCTCCTTTATAAAATGAGACAATAATCTTAAATCTCTGGGTCATCTGGGGGAGTACAATGCGTGAAAAATGACATATGAGATTGGTGTGGATTTCCTGATTTATAGATGAGGAGACAGATGGTTCTTCTTGTTTGCTTTGTTTTTTAGATTTAATTGTTGATAGATATGTATTGATTGCCATTTTATTGTTCATAGTTTTGATCTTCTTTTTCTTAAATAAAAGTCCCTTCAACATTTCATATAATAAGGGTTTGGTGATGATCAACTCCTTTATTTTTCTCTTGTCTGGGATGCTCTTTATCGGCCCTTCGATTCTAAGTGACATCTTTGCTGGGTAGAGCAGTCTCGGTTAGAGGTCTCTGCTTTGCATGGCTTTGAATTTTTTTTGACAATCCTGCCTAGGCTGCAAAGTTTCTTTTGAAAAATCAGCTGACAGCCTATGGGTATTTTTCCTGTAGGTAACTAACTGTTTTTCTCTTGCTGCTTTATGATTCTCTCTTTGTCTTTAATCTTCAGCATTTTAATTATGATGTGTCTTGCAATGGGCCTCTTTGCATCCATCTTGTTTGGGACTCTCTGTGCTTCCTGGACATGCTTGTCTATTTCCTTCAGCAAATTAGGAGAATTTCTTTTCATTTTTTTTCTAATAGAATTCTAATTTCTTGTTCTTTCTCTTCTCCTGGTGTCCCTATGACATGAATGTTGGACCTCTTGAAGTTGTCCTAGAGGCTGCTTATTCTATCTTCATTTTTTGGATTCTTTTTTCTTCTTGTTGCCGATTGATTTTTGGTTCCTTATGTTCCAAATCATCAACTTGATTTCAGCTTCATGCACTCTATTCATTTTTCCCTATAAATTGTCTTTATTTCAGTTAGTGTATCTTTCATTTCTGATTGGATATTCTTCATATTGTTGAGGTCCTCACTAAGTTCCTTGAGCATCCTTATAATTTTATACATATAAAATTATGCACACACATATGCATATATGTACCCATGTAAAAATTAATGAAGATTGAGATTAACAATATCACTGAGAAGAAAATTCCAGGCCTTATTTCCTTATATAACCATTGAATAAACAGCAACATATCAACCAAAAGGCTTAATTACAACTCTAGTAACAATAAACAAAATTGGTTTTAAGTAAAATATTATGCAAGAGGAAACAATGAATAGTATATGATGATAAGAGTTTCAATTCACTGAGAGAATATAAAAATTATAAATATATCAGAGTTCCTAGTATGTGAAGCAAACATTAACAAAACTGAAGGGAAAATAAAAAAATTCATAATAATAGTAGGAGACTGATTTTTCTATTCATTTTTGAAAGTAGGGTATTAAAATCTTTTCAAAGATATAATAATCCAAATAGTTATACCCTAGTACTGGCATAAAGACAGACATGAATGCCAATAAAATGAAATATAGATCCCAGAAATAAACCTCTGCTTTATGGTCAACTGTTTTCCAACAAGTTAGCTGAGACAATTTAATGAGAGAAAAGACAGAGTCGTTAATAAGTAGTACTGGAAAAAGTAGATATTCACAAGCAAAAGAATGAATAGTAACACTAATATTATACCATACAAAAAACTCAAAATGGATGACACCTAAATGTATGATATATTATAAAAATCTTAGAAGAAAATAGAAACATCTTTAAGACATTGGATTCACCAATAATTTCTTAGATATGACACCAAGTACAGATAACAAAAGTTAAAAATATTAATTGGGCTACATCAATATTTTATTTTTTAATTTTAAAATTCTCTGCATCAAAAGACAATCAACAGAGTGAAAGAAAAATCTATAGAATGGAGAGAGTTGCAGGTCATATTTCTGATAAGTAGTTACATCTAGAATATACAGAGAATTCTTACAACTCAAGAAGAACAACAACAACAAATAATTACAAGATGAGCAGAGAACTTGAATAAACATTTTGCAAAAGAATATATAAAAAGAGCCAACAGGATACAAAAAGTGGTTTAGTATCACTAATCATTGAGGAACTGCAAATCAAAGTTACAATAAGAAATTCTCTCACACCAATTAGCATGGCCATAAAAAGAAAAGTGCAGAGGACAGGAGGGGGGAGATTGGGTTGAAGGTGGTCAAGTGGCACAGACTTACATTTACAAGATAAATGAGCACTGGAGTATGTACAGCATATGATAGTCATGTGATGACTATAATTGGCACTGTTGTATGGTATATTGAAAAGTAGTTAACAGAGAGGATCCTAAGAGTTATCATTACAGAAAATCATGTTTCTTTCTTTGTTTGCATTTATATGAGATAATGGATATTACCAAAACTTACTGTGATAATCATACCACAGCATGAATGAAATCATTATTCTGTGTACCTTAAACATACATAGTTTGGTATGTCAATTATATCTTAATAAAATTGAAAAAAAAACCCCTGAAAGTGAAACAAAAAATGTCCACAAAGAAGCTAATATTAAGAGAATGAAAGATAAATATACAAGACTGGAAAACTATATTCACAAAACACATGTCTGAAAAAATACCAGCATTCAAGAAACATAAAGAGCTGTCATACATGAATAATAAAAAGACAAGCATACCCAAAACATACAGGCAAAATATATTCATGAATGTTATAGAATATATGTGGTTGACAAAAAAGCACATTAAAGGGGGTTAGCATTATTTATTCATTAGGGAAATAGAAATCAAAACCACCACTAAATTATACTACATCAACATAATCTTATTGAAATGATTTTTAAATCTTACAATATTGAATTTTAGAAATATACAAGCAAATGAAATTTTAATACACTGCTAATGCCCTAGTCATTTTGCAGTTTTGGTTGTTTACCTACTCATTGTGAAAGTAAGAGTCAGATGATTGAACTTGCCAGAGAACTCATTTTAGTTGTGGTGCAGATCTCAAACTCACATCTAATCCAAGATACTCTTCTCTTTCCAGTATACTCTAATATTTTTCTCTTAAAATGTTAGAAATGAAACAGAAATGCATACACAGTTCATACAGAACAACTTCAATGACTGATGGCATTAATTCCCAGCCCCAGTGGACATGGCAGTGACTGCAGTTTGCAGGATTATTTGCGAAATTTGTATGAGTTGCAGGAACGGAGTATACAGACTCTGCTTGCTATTCCCCATCACAAGAAGTCTCACCCCATCAGCCTGCGGTCATACCACTGGTAATTTGGCAGTCTTCATGTGCGGGAGGCAGATGTGGAGGTTCTGATGTATCTCATCATTATGTAGCCAATATTCCAGCCTCACCTCATGCAGAGGCTAGAATACTGGAACAGCCCATAAAAATACAAGGATATTTGGAAATGACACAGAGACTCTAGAACTCCCAAGAGTCTGAGTTTTTATAAGGGAAAACTATCATCAATGTCTTTGGTTGTTGGTTTTTGTTCTCATTATTTGGTAGCAAGATATGCACTTTACTTTCTCACAGACATAGTAGGAGGATTTGGAACACTCAGAAGCAACCATCTTCCTTGCTGTCATCCTTGCACAGTTTCCACTCTTTGGCTCTTGCCAGTTGCTTAACATAGAAGAGAAGCACATAGGTGATGTCAAATATTCATTCACTATTGCATACACAATAAGAGATATTGGTCCAAAATTAAGATGGTAGGTTCTTCTTACTTTATAGAAACTATCCCCTTGGAGCCCTAGGCTTTCCTAAAGAGGACCTTATGAGGAATACAGGCATAATGATGAAAAAAGTCCCTCTCTCCATGTGCTCATTACTGAACTTAAGTCCTTTTGTTGTATAGTATATACATGTATAAGAATATAAATGTTTCTATATATGTTTATGGATTATATGTGTGCATTTTTCATATACTCTTCCACAAATGTAAACCAGAATCTGTAAATGTAAGACTTCTGAGTTTGTTTCTGTCCTAGAGACTTACATTTTTAAAAAAGTGTGGTGAGTTATCCTCCCATGTCCAGGAAGTCTTCACACCTTTACGGGACAATCCAATCCAATGGAAAGAGGACAGTTGGCTTTCAAGGAACTTCTGTCATAAAAGAGACTGATTATATGAGTAAAAACCTCTTCATATTTCTGCAGTGAAGTGAAAGTCTTTGGATATTTTTATTATTGTGAATAAAAAGTATACAGAGATCAACTTTATTCTATTCAAACTGTAAAGTAATGTGATCCTAGTTTTGGTATTTTATTAAATATAGAGGCATAATTGGGAAAAATAAAGCTTTCTTAGTTGTTTTTATTGAGACTTAAGAATGAAATCTCTTAATTTATTTTCAAAACCATGCCTTGCCTCAAAGATGAGTTCTGAGAAAATTCTGTTTTCTACTTTGAGGTCTTGGTGTGAAAGCTGTGAGATTTCTACAAATGTTGTTTTCTATTTTTTCCTCCATAAGGACCATGGATATTTCTTACAAAATGAGCATTGTGATATGGTGTCTACAAAGATGGATGGAAATTATTTTATAAGTATTAAGGTGTCTGGTATTCATCTTGTACTTTAATTTTACAGAGTATATGCACATATAATCTCCCATTTGATCTTCCTAAATATGATGGAAAGAAAATACACCCAGTTTTCTTCTTGTTTCCTGCACCTTTGAGAAGGTAAGGACAACTTAGTTTTTCTACTTAGAAAAAAATTCACATGTTTCTAGACATAAAATGTACCATTCAATTTCAGCATTTTCATAGGTGTCTTTATTTCTCACTAAGGTACACTAAAGGAAAAGTAGGACTTCTAGACTCTGAAACTTATCTTGGACCCTCTGTACATCTATGGACTCCCAAGTTGATATTTCTTAATCCAAAAGATGCATTAACAGTGGATGACTCAATAAGAGGATTACTGAATATAGCATCACTTATACTGCTATTCTGAAATTCTGTAAGTCTATGAAAAGGCTGAGGGGTAAACAAAGTGAATTAAGAAACAGACTTTCATAGGAAAAGCCAAATTTCCATGAGCACTTTCACTTCTTTGCTAATGTTTCTGTAAAAATTCAGAATGGTAAGAGTGTACATAGATATTTTTGAAAATCTGGTCACTATCCACTTAAATCCTACATTTCTTATCTAAAAAAACTATAAAAGATTTTTTTTACTAAGGCATCATTATTGGTTTGTGATAAACAAAGATAGATATCAGGATACCACATTCTTTCCCATACCTGGCCACTTTTTAACATATTATATTTTTGTAAAAGCTCTTTACCTTGTCTGTAAACAGTGGACTTTAAAAAATGTATTTTATCAATAACAATAGATATTTTCTTTTTTAAAAGTTGAGATGTAATTGACAGATGAGATTGTATTGTTTCAGGTATACAACATCATAGCTTGCTCTCCATATACATGTGAAATGATCTCCATGGTTAAGTCTACTTACCATCCATTACAATACAAGCAGTTTTCTGTTGGAGTACAAATGAGGTAAATCAGACTTTGCAAATGTTTGCTTTCTGGAGTCAAATTTTGCTTTGCTGTATGGTTTTTAAGTTCCTATTTTTTAATAGTGACTTTTGAGTAGTTCAAAGCTAAGCACATGGATTAACTAGCCCAGCACAAAAACATGATTGTTAGTGTTTACTAATCAAGTTTTTAGGGATTATTATACTATTATCCTTCATGTTGAATGTTAGGGTATATTAATGTTTTACAGAAATAATGGTAAAACACTAATTCTGTTTTTAAAGGAAATATAATGATAAAGATCATGAAATATTCAGTTCAGTTTTCTTTGGAAAGTGGTATGAGTTAAATTTTAATATGATTTAGAAACAATTGACCTTCAAACTTATATAAAGTTTTTTTTTCTTTACCTCAAATTCAATGGTAATGCTGTATTTCTTAATTTTCTTAGGGGTATAATAATTTTCTCCAGAAAGTCAGAAGGTAAATTTCTGTAAATTTATCAATATAGGACATGTAATTATTCTTGATAAGATAATGTATTTAAGGAGAAATTTTTCACAATTGTTTCATATTCAACTTTCTTGTGGAAATTCTAACTATGTATGACTTGGATGAATTAGTAAAATTTCTAAATTAATTTCCACTTGTATTTCTGACTTTACCACAGACACTGTCTGGGTCTGAGTCACTTTACAGATGTGAGCAGTGCTGAGAAACTCAAGTATTGTTTAGCATTAAGATTTAACCAAGAACTCATGACTAGATAAATAAAGTAGTGGGTAAAAGGAGATGTAGATTTGTGAGTACATAAAAGTGTTTATTCTTGTATTATTTATTTGTAGTATAGCTGTAAACCTACTATTGCCCACCCTATGCCTTGTGAGCTGGAAAACAGAAAATATACATCACCAGTTCTTTTTCATCGTCTATCTTAAGTAGTGCAGAGTTCATTTTGTTGCAGGATCTCCTACTCTCTTCAAAGCTCTTCAATTCATGGGAAAAATAGTAACACTTCTCTCCACAACATGACCATTTCCTCTCACACGTGCTGTTGTTTCCTTGAAAACAAAAGATATTCGCGGACCACTCAGTGTGTATCCTGAAAGGGAAGTCTGAGGCTCACATACTGAGAAGTCCTTCCAGGTCCTTCTAAAGACATTTATGTAATGAGACTGATGGCTTCATTTCAGCCTTCTAAAAAGTGCCCTGGCCTGAGAAGAAGGTTCTATTACTTACATTTCTCCAAGTTTATGCATAATCTTAGGAAAACATCCTAAGCCAAATTTGTAAGTAAATTAATATTTTTTTTTCTCACAACTTAAACTGAATGGACTTAACAATGGGAAGAGGCTTCTCTGTATTTCCTAGAACAGCAATTTTTAACCAGCGTGCTGACACAGTTGTGTTCCCAAGAATTTTTAAAAATGCCACAATTGACTATTTAATCAAGGGTCACTGATCTTTTTCACCTTAGATTGTCAAAGAATAAAATAACATCCCACACAACAATTGCTGTCAGGTGTGAATGAATCAAAATTACACCTATATTTTTGGGTCTGGTCAGTTGGCAACAAACATATATTTTGGTGTGCTGGAGAACATTAGTATTTTGTTTATGTGTGCCATAATGTGAAAGGTTGAAAATTGCAGCTCTAGATTTAATAAAACCTATAGCTACAGAGAGATAATGAACTTAGTACCTGATGTACATACCCGTATTCCAGAGTATAAAATAATGATTAGAGAATCTGACAAGGAGATGTAAGTTTTTGTTTGTTTATTTGTTTTTATGTAGAAAGTGTATTACTTTGTAATCTAGTAACTAATCAATGAACAAGTGCTGGAGAGGTTGTGGAGGAAAGGTAAGCCTATATAGTGCACTGTTGGTGTGAATGCAGACAGGTGCAGCCACTGTGGGAAACAGTATGGAGTTTCCTCAGAAAATTAAAAAATGGAACTGCCTTTTGAGCTGGAAATTCCACTGCTGGGAATATACTGTAAGAATACTGAAATCTAATCCAAAAGACCCTATGCACCCCAATGTTCATAGCAGCACAATTTACAATAGCCAAGTGGTGGACGCAATGTAGGTGCCCACCAACCAGTAAATGAGTGGATAAAAAACTATGGTACGTTTACACAATGGAATACTCTGCAGCAGAAAGAAAGAAGGAGCTCCTACCCCTTGTGGCAATGTGGATGGAATTGGAGAGAATTATGCTAAGTGAAATAAGTCAGGTGGTGAAACACAAATATCTTATGATCTCCCTCATGAGTGTAACCTAATTGAGAAAACAAATAAGCAAGCAAAAACATAACCAGAGGCATTGAAATAAAGAACTAATTGACAATAACCAGAGGGGAGGGAGGAAAAGGATAATGGGGGGAAAATAGCAGAAGGGCCATCAAGGAACATGTATAAAGGACACATAGACAAAGTCAAAAGGGGGTATGTTCAATGGTGGGGGGGGCATGGTGGGGGTGGAAATAAAGACAACTGTACTTGAACAACAATAAAAAATAGTAATTAACATAAAACATATAATACCATGCCATGCATACAGAAAAATCTAACCTCTGGTAAAGATTGATATATTTTTCTTGTTCAATTAAAGAAAAGTGAAAGTTGATATCCAAAATTGGTTTAATCTAAAAATAAAGTCAAATTTGAGAAGGATATTTGGTGAGTAAGGAAAGAGAGAAGCAACTTGTTGGTCTCAGTGTTCAATGGATTTATCTGCATACCTGTGTTAAATGGTTCCACTACAACAGGTATGTTCTTCAACATGGAATTGTCTTCCAGTGGTGGTTTCTGTGGTTGGCATTTGTGATGACCCTGGAAAACTTTACTCAACAACATTAGCTCAAAGAAAACATAACATGGGACTGATAAAAAGTACAATTTTAATGTTAAAATGTCAGTTAAAGATCAAAAGTAAGCACCATTTTTAATCATGTCCACTTTAGGCACTTTCTCTGCATGTGATTTACACATTCATATCTCACTTGATAAAATACATTAATTAATGACAACAGGGCTTGGTTGACCTGATGATACAGCAATGAAAATGCAAAGGTTCTGTTCTCAAGGCATTCACTCACTGCAATGGGAAGAGTGCAGATACTACATGATGGGTGATATGAAAGTGATTAAGCTTTGCTGGTAGAACTCAGCAGAGAGCTGGCTGACTAAATATATGATTTAGAATAGTGAGATGTGCTAGCAAGACTTCACAGATTAGTGTGCATCTTACATTTGTTCTTTGTGGATGAAAAAGAGGTAGGAAAGTGACAAAGATAATACAATTCTAGATTGCTGCAATTAGTTTTGAAAGTAAACAAATAGAGAAAATATGACCTATGAAGGTAATCCAAAGTTAATCAAATGATAGGTTGTATATAAGGGGATTTAATGAGACAAGACTGAAAAGACAAACAAAAATTACATAATCATAAAGAACAGATTTAAAATTCTAAAAGGCATATTGCGAATGTACATAGAGTAGTGTCCCGTCCAGGACGGTGGCATGATAAGCTCAGCAAAACAGCCATATTAAACCTGCCATATTATGACAAATATGGCACTTTTTAAAATCTTTAAAATTTATCTCAAGGATATGTTTTTAATGAGGAAAATCTATCAATTCTTGAGAGCAGTAACAATCTGAAAAATTGAATCACAACCTGTTCACTGTCCCCACCTGAGATCGGCATCATGGACCATCCACTATAAGTGGGTGTCAGCAGGAAGAGGAAGCTCCTTCTCCCTCCAGGTCCCAGTCTGTGTATCTCTCCATGGATATCATAAGCTAAGGTGATGTTATTTCTCCAGGAGGAGCAGGTCGCCAGTGATTGTTCTCCCTCCTAGCTCCATGTTGCACAAGTTAAATTCTAGGCAGTGGTGGCTATGTGGTTTGGGCTCTTCTCCCCTACCCATCCCATACTCATAGAGTAGAGGTACTCCCCAGTTGAAGAAGATCAAGAATATTGGGGAATCCATTGTCCTCATTGGAGCTCATACTCCTGCTTACCTCCCAGTAGGGGAGAGGCAAACCAAGAAAACCAGAGCTTACTATTCCCTCCTCCCATGACCAGGCTCATAAAACAAGAGTGTTATTCAGAAAATGGGCCACTGTCTGTGATCCAAGCTCCAAAGAAGTAGCCTCAGAGATTTTTTGTCCAGGGAAAAAAGAATGCTGTAAGAATAAATAACTGCAAGTCTTTTCCCAAAGAACTGACTATTGGATTAAGGAAATTCAAGCCTAAGGATGCTCTTGAACACAATGTGGGTGAGGTGTGGGAGGGTTGCAAAGGGTTGGTAAGCAGTTGAGTGGACCTGCGTAGCTCAATGAAAGCAATCATTTTAACCACAGATGGTTCAGTTTACCAGAGGGAACCAAAGGAAGACAAAGCAAAGAAACACCTTCTTGGGTTTAGTACAAATATCAAAGATTGACCTCAAAACTACCCCGGATAAAGGACCCAAATCAAATTGGATTGGGCTGTGGAATGTTTGATCACCAGGGCACTGTCAAAACCAGAGAGACCATCAGCAAGTGATTAGTAGAATGTAGTAGATGAGAGTGATACCAACAGAGCAGATATCTTAAGCATTTTAAGATTGACCTGGTGAAGAGAAAGCCAAAGAAAACCCTGCTAAAATCATGGTCAGATCTGGTGATTGTGCAGGTGCTCAAGGCTGCATCTTCTGCTGCAAGGCTGAATGCTTCCCCCTAAGATCAGGAACAAGTTGCCAATGTGCACTATCGCAACTTCTGTTCAACACTGTACTTGAGGTGCTATTTAGTTAAATTATCCAGTATATGACACAATACTATCCACACATTTTATGTGGAAAATATGAAAGAATCCACTCAAAACCACTAGAACCAATGAAACTACAATGTCATATGGTATTAGAGCAATATGCAAAATCAACTGTATTTCTCTATAGTAACAACTATGTGAAAATAAAATTAAGAAAATGCAATTTATATTAGCATCAGAAATAATGACGTTCTCAAGAATAAACTTAAGAAGATAGTGTGAAATATGTATGCTAAAAACTAAAAGGCATTGCTGCAAAATAAAAACCCCCTAAAATGTAAGACATCTCATATTCACCTTACAACACTTACAAAAGTGAATTTGAAATGGATAAATTGTGAGAATGTAAAAGATAAAATTATAAAATTCTCACTAGATAACATAGGTGTAAACTCTTGTGGTCTTGAAGTGGGCCATGGTCTCTTAGATATGGCACCCAAAGTGCAAGCAGCCAAAGCTAAAGTAGATAAGCTGAACTTTATCAACATTACAAACATTTGTGCATCAAAGGTTATCAAGACAGTGAAAAGGTAACTGAAAGGATGGGAAAATATTTACAAATCTCATATCTGATAAGAGATTAATATGCAGATAAATTATATCCATGCAATAAAATACTTTTTCTGTCAATTTAAAGCATTGCCATGCTGATAGAATACATCATGAATGAACCATGGAAACTTTATGTTAAATGAAAGAAGCCAGCCTCAAAAGACAAAATGTCATATGATTCCTTTTTGTACAATGTTCAGAATAGGAAAATCAATAGAGATAGGAGGTAGATTAGTAATTGTTTCAGGTTGGCTGGCTTGAAAGGGAAATGGCAAGCAACTACTAATGAGTTTAGGGTTTCTTTTGGAGTGACAAAATATTGTGATATTGATTATAGTTTTGGCTGTACATCTCTGAATATAATGAAGCCATAAATTTGATACTGTACATGGATAAATTGTATAAAACAATTATATATCAATATATGTCACTCATACACACACACACACACATATCAAAGACACTGGTTTGTGAACCAGGAATCTTAAAGTCATGGTCATTGAACAAGATGGTTTTCGCCCTGGCTGGTGTAGCTCAGTGGATTGAGCGCGGGCTGGGAATCAAAGTGTCCCAGGTTTGATTCCCAGCCAGGGTACATGCCTGGGTTGCAGGCCATAACCCCCAGCAACTGCACATTGATGTTTCTCTCTCTCTCTCTCTCTCTCCCTCCCTTCCCTCTCTAAGAAATAAATAAATGAAATCTTAAAAAAAAAAAAAAAACAAGATGGTTTTCTTTAAAAAAATATACACAGAGAAATATAAACACTCAGCTGACTTAAATTGACTTCAATTGCTTTAGATGCAAGAACTTGGCTGCTTATTTTTGCATCACACATAGTGTCTGACATGAGAGGAAAATCATCCACAGCACTGGTTCTCAACTGGGGATGATTTGACCCTGCAAGGTGTATTGGCCATATCTGGAAGCATTTTGGATGTAACTATCATCATGTAGTGAGTAGAGGGCAAGGTTGTTGCTAAATATCCTATAATGCACAACATAGCCTCCCTAACAAAGAATTACCCCCACCAAAATATCAGTAATGCTGAGGTTCAGAAACCCTAATCTAGGAGAAAATGGCATGACAAAAATGATGAAAGGTAATAAGATGGGTTTTAGAAAGAGAAAATTAACATCTGGTTAGGGAATTAGAAAATAATCATGGTGGATTTAGAAAAGGCACTTATATTTTATAAAGTGGGTTTGAGGAATGGGTATGATCCTCACTGGATGGGCCAGTGAACAGGTGGAAGGCTGTCCAGAAGGAGGAATGTCATACGAATGTGCTGGGACAGAGACACTTAGAGAACGTGAGGATAACACAGGTGATCTAGAATTATTTAAAGCTAGTTTGGACATGAGAATTTTTAAAAATATATTTTACTGATTATGCCATTACAGGGGTCCCATTTTCCTCCCTTTATCCCCCTCTGCCCTGCACCCCTCCTCTCATCTGCATTCCCCACCTTTAGTTCACGTCCATGAGTCATACATACAAGTTCTTTGGCTTCTACATTTCCTACACTATTCTTAACCTTCCCGTGTTTATTTTCTACTTACAATTTATGCTACTTATTCCCTGTACGTTTTCCCCACCTATACCCCTCCTGTTTCCCTGCTGATAACTCTCCATTTGATCTCCATTTCTGTAATTCTGTTTCTGTTCTAGTTGTTTGCTTAGTTTGTTTTTTGTTTTTGTATTTTTTTTTGGTTCTGTTGTTAATAGTTATGAGTTTGTTGTCATTTTACTGTTCATTGTTTTGATCTTCTTTTTCTTAGATAAGTCCCTTTAGCATTTCATATAATAATGGCTTGGTGAAGATGAACTCCTTTAACTTGACCTTATCTGGGAAGCACTTTATCTGCCCTTCCATTCTAAATGATAGCTTTGCCAGACAGAGTAATCTTGGACATAGGTCCTCACCTTTTAAACTTAAAATTGTTTGATTGAAATAAGATTAAGATTATGATAGCAACCATAAGTACGTGGAATTTTAACATAATTCACTAGAGAATGAGAAATTGCTAATGATTATTTGGTGTTTTTTAAAAAAACATTTTTATTTATTTACTTTTTAGAGAGGTGAAGGAGAGAGAAAGAGAGGGAGAGATAAATCAGTGTATGGTTACCTCTCATGCTCCTCCTACTGGGGACCTGGCCTACAACCCAGGCATGTGCCCTAGACTGAAATCGAAATGGTGACCCTTTGGTTCACAGGCCAGTGCTCAATCCACTGAACCATATAAGCCAGGGCCAGTTCTTGGTGTTTTGATAACGTGATCAGAAATATATCTGGAGAAGAATATTTGGTAATTTCAATAGGATTTTGAAGTCTGTTGAGTTTAGGATAATTTAGGAGGCAATTTCATAGTATAGAGGAAAAATATCATTGTGCTGTAGTGGGCCTTTACAAGAATAAACAATTTAAAAGGTAAATTCGAGCTTCAGACTGAAGATTCAAAGATAAAAGCAAGGGCACTTCACAGCTTATTAAAAGTCAGTGTCAGAGAGGAGAGTGAAAATCAATGTACACATAGCATAATCGATCATCAAAAAAACCTTAATGTAGCTTTTCTAGCATTATCTTGAATATGACCCAGCATTTTTGAATAAAAGAGATGTCAGAAGTTTTAAACAAGTTTTAAATGGCCAAGTGATTACTTTAGTGGTGAAGGTGGAAGGGTTCCTGGGTTGAAATGGTGATCATAGCAATGGAACTAGTAGGAAAGAAATACTAGTAGAGAAGGTAAGTGCTAAGGGGCGAACTACATAGTTCAGGGCACAGGGCTGGTTGAACTTACCCATGAGTCCCAAAATTCCAGTTGTCACAAGGAGAAAGAAACAGAAGATTCCAATGATCACAACAGTGAGACACTGGGTAAATGGGACTGAAGGCACTGCTCAGAGAGAAAAAAGAGATCAAGTAACATGGCAAAGACAAGACTGAATTGAGGAACAGAAGTTAGAACAAGACTTCCTATAAATTCAAGTCCCTAATGTCTTCAAAGTTGGAATTATCAATTAAAAGGGATGCTGACCAATTTGAAAACACAATGAATGGATAATTGAATGCATGGGTTTTCCTCCTTATGCTGTTACTGTTTCTCTTGGGGAAGTGACTTATTCTGGCTTTACCAAAATAATCCTTGCATCAGCTCAATGATTCATAAATAGAAAGTGGAATATTAGATATATAGATGTTTTTAAAACTGTGAATGTGCTTCTAAAACATATCTATATACATCACTTTAATTGATCCACCATTAGATGATTTTTCTTATTTTGGATGTATGATAAGCTTGCATACATGTAACAGTTTTCTTATGGAGCTGCCCTCACCACTGTTCTTCATTTTTAAAAAAGATTTAGTTCTTTTTTATTTTTAAAATGATCACACAATAAAGAAGGACTTTTTCAGCTACATTAGGATTAACCACAGCTACTGCACAGAGGAAATTATAATCACAAACATGTATCAAATGATGTTCATCAAATATTGTTCTTTGCAACTTTGTAGAATGAGCAATAGTGACATCAGGGGATTCACAATTGTTTCCAAATAAGTTGAAGAAAAATAATTTTTCTACCTGACTTGCTCAGTTATGCATGTGTACACAGCACCCAAACTACATTAATTCCCTGGAATAGACTAAATGTGGATATTTAATTTTCCACACTGCTTTTTCTGAAGCAGTATAGATATAAAATATGGTTTTAAAAACCTCATGAAAATGGGCAGACTAACTCAGTTCTTTGGACCAGTGGTTCTGCCTTATCTCATTTGAATTATGTATGCAGAGGCTACACAGTTAGAGGGCATGTAAGCTCAGCCCTCTTCATAAACTTTACCTTTTCTTTTAGATGATTTATTTCTTGTTATCTTTGTCTGATTGGAGTTTGAAGTAGTGTTTTTCACTTCTGAGTACATTGGTGGCCCTTTTATCTCTGGAAGTTCAAACAGAGATGTGGTTACTTCTTTATATTCACATTATTTCTTACAAAGCCTATCAGCTATTAATATGTGTGAAGAGAGTTGATAGAATAAGATTTTTACCAAGTAAAAGAAATCTATGGAATTGTTTTCTTCCTACTAGTTGAAGTCCATCAGGTACATCTTTCAAATGACAAAATCTTGAAAATAAGTTAGACATGTGCCATGTGCTAAATTATAATGAAAATCTTTAATGAAATTGTTTAACAAGGAACAGAAAAGAATAACAGAATTTAATAAGGATTGGGAAAAATACTCACTTTCTTTTGGCATGTGCTTTTTGGAAGGAAGATGTTTCAAATATATGTATGTTGTGTTCTTTTCATTCATCTGAAAAATTTTGATATACACTTCTAAAAGAGACAATTTGACAGTTTTTTAAAAAACCTTAGTTTTCAGGTTCTGTCCTTTCTAGGCTGTGTGCATAATTAAAATCAGTATATTTATCTACTGATGAATGATTTTACTTCGGAAATTTTTTCCAAGAAAGGTTTTTGCCTTAGATTACCTTTTTCCCCTTTAAATTATCAGTTACCATTTTTCTTTACACACTTGGGTACTGTCATTTTACCAGCTATGCCTGGACTTCTACTAATGTGGTAATTAATTTAATTTACAAGGTTAACAATGTTATGATCAATGAAATATTTGTACTACATCTAAAATTGTCCCTACCCAAAAATTCAAACAAAAGTTTTATGAGTCAATTGTATTTTAGAAATGTATGGTGTCACATCAAATGGATTGTTGGAAAGTATCTCCTTCATGATCTCTCCTAATATTTTCTTTCTATTCATCTTTACTTTTTATTAATGACTCAAAGACATTTACTTCCTATAAATCATGAGATTGTTGCCATCTCTTCCAACTTGGTATTAAAAATGAACATCCTACAACTAGGACACAAGTTGGTTAATCCATATTCCTATGGAGTGAGTTGTTTTATGCCCACAAAACATGAAAGCATAAGTTCAAAAAAGGCAGCTAATCCTGCTTGAAATAATAATTTGACTAGCAAAAGTTAAAAATGTATTTAACTTGTTTCAAGTATTTTAAATATTATTTAAATAATCAAAGAAATTTACATGGAATAGAATTCTGATTACCGACAAAAGTGAAAAATGGTCACTAATTTCTCAGTGTGTACATCAACTTAAACACTTTTTGCATATTTTTATTTCCTTGGCATAATGCTCCTGTTCTCCTTTACAATATGATTAAAAATGTAGGCCTCTGTGTGTCATAATATTCACTTATGACATTTCATTTTTTCCCACAAGATATGTTCTCATGGAAAACATGATTGTACAGAAATATATTTATAATGTTTTTAAAAATTCTTTATGAAGTCTGTATATGTCAGAAATTATGTATATTACATAAATTAACAAAATATTGAGGTGGATGTGAACTAAAGGAATTTATTACTATAGGAACAAGTAAAATTAAATGTATATAAATTATTTTATTACTCATATCCTGTCCCAATTAATATGACCATTTGCTGTATTAATGCATTTGATCAATCCAACAGCTATATTGAAATATGTACTAAGAAACAATCAATTATATTCAATGTTCAATCAAGAAAACTTTATAGGAGGTAATACACTTGCAAAGTTATTTTTCAACATGCATTGTTCCACTCCTTTGCCTGCAAGATTGAATGTGCTGGATTATTTAAAAAAAAGCAATCTATTCCTTGTGCTCTGTATAGGCAATCAAGTGGCAGTAATAGAAGTGATATGCGCTCAGAGCCACAGCTATATACATAGTTGGCGATACCTGTGTCAGTGCAGTAGAGTTTTCGCTCCAGTGGAGTCTGGTCCCAAATAGAAGAGGTAGCCCCTGCAGGTGGATGGACTGGATGTGCGAGTTCTGGCAAAGAAGGTGATTCTTCTGGGCTCGCTATGTTATCTGCCTTGGTTTCCCAAGAGCCTTCAGTGCTGCTCAGCTACACATGAAGATGTGAGAAAATAGTTCACATTTAAGCCTCAGGTTTCACTATCTGCATCCTTTATCACAGAGGCAAGCAGTTTCTTCTTACTATTTTTTTTAACAGAGGAGATGAGTGGGAAAAATAATTTAAAGAGCCATGCCTATTTTTCACAGAATACAAATCACACTTAGAAAAAAAAAGACCACTATCACCACTTACAATGACCAACACCAAATAGATTCTAAATATATTCTGTATAACAGATGCTGATGTTTGGGGCTCTAAAGTGAAATTATACTTAATGAGAAATTTACATTTATCTTGTTAACTGCTATAATGTCTAAGTGAAAATACATTTACCCTAATAGTCTCCTTACATTTACCTGAAGGAGAGTTTGATTAATAAATTGTTAAGTTCTTTGACTGTATTAGAGAGCCACTCATTCCCTGGTTCTTTAAAAATACACCCCAAATCAATGGCTTTATTCTTTGAAATATTTTTCCATAACATAGCCTTTACACAGTGTGCTTTTTAGTTTATTCCAACATAAATGGAGTATATTTGCTTAAAACTTCAGGGTTTGATGATTTTTGCTTTCTTTCCCTTGTAGTTATACTGTAGTTAAATAATATTTATATATATGCATATGTATTAGCTTCCTCCTTAGCAGTCTGATGTAGCATAGCCCACAGTGTACTGCGTGAACAATGACAATGAAGTTGAAATACATGAATCTTAGCTCAGTAGAAAAAGATTGAAATAGTTTTACTTGTTTCAACATTTAATAATAAAAGCACACTAAAAGAATATATTTCAATTGTGGAATAACTTATACAAAAAACAGTTGGGAATGACATATTTGAAAAAAATTTCATTGAGTTTTAGAATGGAGAAATGATTAAGGGAAAACAGACTTTAATACAAAATCAAGCCTTTACAGAAATTATCAAACAGAATGTGTGTAATGAAAGGATAACCATAGGTAACCTGTGAAAGAGGAATGTTTTTATACTCTGGATATATATTCCTTTTGGTTTTGTAATAGTCAATGTCTCATTTTTGTTCTGTTCTCCCCAACTGCTATAGACTTTGTCCAAACAGCCAGATGGCAAGCTCAACACTGAACAGCCTTGCACACCCCTGAGTTGCTCATCCAGAATCAGTGCCTGGCATGTAAAGGTGCTCCGGGGTGTTTGTAGATGAATGAGTGGACAAATGAATGAATGGAGAAAACAGCTAGACCCGAAATTCTCCCCACCCCAGGACATGACCAGCAGAAAAGATTACATCTATGCATGTGTGTAGCTACTGTGGGAACCCTGCTGAACCCTGTGACATTACTATTCTATCTCATTTTACAGTGGCATAAATCAAGTCTCCTGAAAATTAAGCAGCTGACCTAAGGTTTCTTGACTCCTAGGAGGCAGAGCCAATCTTGGAATCAATTCCATGGGATCCACAGAGCCTAGGACCTGCACCCTGTAGCTGGACTGTTGCAATGCAAAAGGCAGAGAAGCCCCCCTAGTAACCCTGTTGCCAAGCACTCTGTTGGTAGCACCTGCCTTTTAGCAATAGATGTCCAGGTTTCCAGTACTGGCTTGAAAGAAGCCAGTGCAACTGCCAGGGCCTCATGATTGCTCTATGGGTGGAGGGTTGTCCTACATGGTAGGTTGTCCCAGGGCAGCCATGTCTGTTGCTGTAGTTGCCATGTGACAAGTGCTTCTTCGATTGGGTCAGGAATGACAGTTGGCATTGCTCCCAGGACACCATGGACAAGGGGTGATGGAGGGGAATGGGGGGTGAAGAGAAGAGAGAGAGGAGTTCTGGTGCCTACTCCCCAAGCCCTCCCTGCTTCTTCTCTGCACCCAGACACCCTGGATGTGCAGGAAAAGAAAAGCCTAATATGGCTCAGGTAGCAGGGAGGCTCATTGTCCTTGCAGGCCCCTGACGATGATGTGAACCCTGAGTAATGGTGGCCCCCAGATTCCTCTGCTGCCACTCCTTCATTGTGCCTTATCCTCCTTGGAGGAGCCCCACACTGCCCCCCAGTACCCCCTTCCTCCAACTAAGCAGAGCTTTCCCAACTGGAGAGAGAGAAAGAGAGAGAAAGGAAAAACTGCATCCCAGGACGGCTTGTAAAAGATGTTATTTGTGAGTATATATGGTAGGTTTATGCCTGAAATTCAGGCCAGAGGTCAGGGGAGACACCGCTGATCTTGGAAGTGAAGAGAAGGCCTTATGGGGAGTAGGGCCGATTTTGAGTAGGTGGCCTGCACAGGCAGCTGACCATCCAACAGAGATGCCAGCATTTGTCCCCTGCAGCAGAAGTGATGATCCCTGGAGACAGTGAGAAAAAAGCTGCAGTTAGCAGGTCTCCATTGGGCTCTAATTCCCTGTCCCTGAGGGCTATCCCCACCCCAAATCTATATACAGGCTCCCTAGACCCACTGCTGCCAGTTTGGCTTTGGGCACAGCTCTCAATATGTCCAATCTGGAGAAAGTTTCCTGTGCCCAGCTCAGCTATGACTAACACTTAAGCCATAACTGATGGAAGACTGAGGTGAGGACAGGATGCTATATCCTCCACAGACAGGTGCATGTCCAGCCCTCTGTCAGGAGCAGAGGCATCAGTGTCCCCCTGTGCCATCCAGGTGTCCTGTGGGGCAGGGTCGGAAGTCTGCACAGGGCAGTGATGCCAGAGAACTGGTATTTGTGGAAACCAAAGGTCTACCAATTTTGACTTAAAGTCGATTTTGTCTGATACAAGGAGAGCCCGGCTTGTTCTCTTTCATTGTTCACTTGCATGTAGTATCTTTTCTCATTCCTTCAGTTTGAGCCTGTGTCTTGTCTTTAAAGCAATGTGAGTCTCCAGTATGCAACATATACTTGGATCTTAGAGATTTTTAAATCCAACAAGCCACCTCTTGTGTTTTGATTGGCAAGTTTAATCCATGTACTTTGAGCATTTTTTGATGTATAAGGACCTACTAATACCATACTACTGTTTTCTTGCTGTTTTGTAATTATCTTGCTCTTCTCTTACTCTTGTTCTTTGCTAATTGGTGATTTTTCAAGGTCATATGCTCCGATCCCTTACTTTACTTTCATGAATTTACTATAGTTTTTTTTACATTGTGGTCACCATGAGTATTACATACATCCACTTAGAAATGTAAGTCTACAGTATACTGAAACAACTTTAACCACATGCAAAACTCAGTCCTTCCGCTCAAATCCTTTTATATCCAACACTGCAATTTACTTCTGTGTATATCGTCTGTTCCTTAAAAATCTTGGTTGTTTTAGTAAATTTCATACTCCTGTTCTTTAACATTTAAGTTAGAGTTAAGTGGTTAACATACCATTATATTATTTTACATAATTATTTCTCTAAATCTGAGCATATGTTTACATGTATTAGTGCATTGTATATTTTTGTATGTTTTCATGTTACTAATCTCTTTATTTCTGCTTGGACTGCTCTCAGCATTTGTTGCAACTCAGGAGTAGTGAGGATGAGCTCCCTTGGTTTTGGCTTATGTGAAAAAGTCTTTATGTTTTCTTGATTTCTGAAGGATAATCTTGGTAATAGATTATACCGTTATCTTTTTTTTCTTTCATCACTTTGAATATATATCATCTAAACCTCTTCTGGCTTGCAAAAATCTTGCTGAAAAATCCACCAAAATCCCAAAGGGAGTTCCTTTGTAGGTTGCTGTCCTTTTTCTCTTGCTGCCTTAGGATTTTCCCTTTGTCATTGATTTTAGATGATTTTATTATCGTGAATCTTGAGGAAGAGTGGTTTGGATTAAAATAATGGAGTGATTTTTTCAGCTTTATGAACTAAATGTCCAAGCTTTCTCCAGGGTTGGAAAGTTCTCTGCCATTGTTTCTGCAATAAGTTTTCTGTGGCCGCTCTGCCTGATCTGAGGAAGCACTCCTTCTTCTGGAAGGCCAGTGGTAGGCGCTCTCACTTTCTCATTCTGTTTTAGTTTTTGTTGGCGTTGTTCTCCTCTTGCTGTGTTGTTTCAAAGCTTCTGTCCATAGGTCATGGATAATTTCTTCTTTTGGTCTATTGTGATATTAATGCTCTCTATGGCACTTTTTATTTAATTCGTAGAATTCTTCAGCACCAGAGTTTGTGTTGGTTTCTATTTATTTCTTTTTAATGACATCTATCTCTTTGTTAATTTTTCCATCTTGATGGTGTATTGCTCTGGGATATCATTTTCCTGTTTGAACTGTCTTTCTCTGTTTTCTTTCAACAATTCACATTTTCTTAATTAGTCAATTTGAAAATGTTTGGTGATTAAATCATAGATCTCATGTCTTTGTGTTGGGTACTAGAAAGTTGTGAACTTTTGGTGATATCATGTTTCTTTGATTATTCATGTTCTTTGGAGTTTGTGTTGCTGTTTTTACATTTGCAGTAGCAGTTTCCACCTCCAAGCTTCACTGCCTTCAGAAGAGAAATACCCTTTGCCACTCCTGCTATTGACTCTGAGGCTTACCAAGACCTAGTATCATTTCACCTGCCCCCTGCTTCTTGTTGCCCCTTCTGACAGAATCCTTAAGCCTGTATGTCTTCTATCATGCCATGCATTAAATAGGTTGCTGATAGCCTCTTTTGTTTTCCTGAATGTGGTATTACAATTCAAATTTGTGGTTTCTGCCTTGCTTTGAGACTCTTACATTGTTTTTAATGGGCACTCTGTCTTCCAGAGCACACATATGCCTCTGTCCTTGGAGTGCACGTGGAGAGCCATGGTAGAGAGCGGAGACGGTTTACGGGGCACATGGTGTATTGAGGGTGCCCACAGTTCCACTGGGGTTGTGCAAATGTTATTTTCCATGTGGTTCATAAGCGGGCTTGTGATGAATTGAAAAATGCATTTGACAAAAACAACCTATTTTAATGATCTCTGAGAACCTTCTCTGACTTTTTAAAAATGTCTTCCTTACATAG